GGGCTTTCCTCCAACTACGTTTTGTTGCAGAACGGGCGCGGCTGAGCCACGCGCGCGGGCACTCAAGTGAAAGGAATTACAGGAAAACGCGAATGCGCATCAGCCCCTGAACAGCGAGCTCGAGCAGTCAAGTCATGGGATCACGACACGGACTAAACAACAAAGCTCTGGCGCAAGAGAGCCTAAACCCAATCACCAACGCATCGGGACTATTCAGGGAAACGCGGATCTGCTCAAGGAAACGCAACAGAAGCAGGCCGCTCACGGGGACAGCGCGCCGCCGCAGCGGCCGCTGGCCTCTTGCGCAGGACTTTAGCGCTGGGAGGCAGGCGCTCCACGTCAACGCGCGGGTTCGCGCGCGCCGACAAGCGCACCTTTGGCGCTATTTTCGGTGGGGCGCCAATGAGAGCGCCGAGCGCGGCCTGGAGGAGCTCGCGCTCCTGGTGCAGTTCGGTCAACGGTAAGCTCTTCCTCGCCCAGCCGACCAACAGCTTGGCGAACGTGCATATTGAGCATACTGCGCGTGCGTTCCGCTCAGTTTGAATGAACACGTTCCGAAAGAATGCTTTCAGTTGCATGTGCAGAGCTTCATTCCTCGTGGTCCCGTACATCACCTGAACGCTGGGGTTCCGCGCAATGAATCTACCAAGATTCAAGATGTACTCAATATGCGCAGGTGGCGTTGCATATCGCAGACTACCAAGGATAGTAGTTTTCTTACTCGTCGTCTTGTCCATCTCCCGCGGGAACATCTTGCACAGCGCGGCGATGTCTCTGACGAAGCTGCGGCGGCGCGGCACGGCCGCTCGGGATAGCCGGCGGCCTCAATCGCCGCGTTGACCCGCGCTGCCGAAGCGTCCGAGAGGGAGGAGATAGCGTCGCCCAATGACTGCCATTCCGCCCGCCGCCGCTGCCCGCGGAAGTACGGCTTGCCATCGCCTAGGCCCATGGAGAACTTGACGATGCATCGGCGGACGAGGATCGATAGTGAAGTGCGCTTCTCGTTGGACGCCTGCTCGATCTTTAGGGCGATGTGCAAGGGGTCCTTGGAGAGGCACTGCAGCCGCGGGAACGCGACGCGGAGAGCGGTCTCCTCCATTCAGATGGGCGCATCCGAGCATATCATGCGCACCTGTCTGGCGCCGTTCTCGTTGCCAACGGCTTCAAGAAGAGCCTTCTGGGCGTGCTTGAAAGCCTCGGACGGCGCTGGTTGCACCAAGAGAACAGAGCCCATGCACTGAACAGAGAGCTGCACGTGGACGCCCTGCTTTCGACTGCCACCGATGAGAATGCCGACCACGCGCTGACGCCGACCCTGGCCGCGCCGACCCTGTGCCCAGCATCGGTGCATGCACAGAGTCGGCATTGCCAGGTTCGGCGCATGCGCATAATTGGCATTCCCATTACCTCCATGAGCCCCATGCTGCGCCTGGTACAATACCGACAATAAAGTTGAGTACTGCCCGTCAATGCCAATGACAGTCTTGTCTGCGCCCTCGCGGCAGTTCGCGATCACGTTTCTGATGCTGCAATTTCTCAACAACCCCTCTACGAAAGTCAGATGAATGCGGGAATCGTCTGGGAAAAGGTAACGGGTAAAACCTGCGGCGTCCTTCACGTGAGCCCAGGCCCGCTTCTTGGACCCTTTGGTGTCTGGGTGGAGTAACGCGGCCAAGAACGAAGCCAAGAAATCATTTGTACAACGGTAATGCTCACTGACTCGGTGATACTTTGGTGCGTCCTCGCTCAGGATATAACGAGTGCGTTCCCTGGCATCGAGCAGGAGCACCGTGTATCGATCGGGGTCAGTCTTCCTCAGCTGGTGGTTGACCTCGTTCCACGATGGGGACTCCATGCACCCATTCCGGATGAAATCAGCACTCCGCGAAAGTAGTGAGGGCGGACTGGTCTCACCTGTGCCCGCAGCCCAGAGGCTCACAGAGCGCCGACATAAGGCTGAGTGGTTCCACATCGCATGGATCACGCGCATCTGTTTGTTCGGCGCGCCACAGAGCGTCGCCCCGACGTGGGTATTGCTCATGTGCGAAATCAACTTCTCCCTTCGTTGGAAAGTCCTGAAGGGGCACATCGGGCAGTGCCACAAGTCATCCTGTCGGGCAGTGCCAGCGCTCCCCGCGTCGCGGAGGGTCGACAAGGTAGCTTTGGCTTCTTGATCAAGCATCGCTCTGAGCTCAACTGGCGTCTTCGACAGATAAGAACCTTTTCCCCCGCCCAGTCTGTCGAAGAGGTCCGTCGAGAACGACACGTTGTGCTTCGACCCCACGGCGTCCAAATGCTCGGTCAGAGCGCCCAAACTGGACTGATGAAGCCGCAGGGTGGCTCCGTCCAACATGAGAGTATTCACGTAGCACTCTGGAACGTGTTCTTCCAGGCCGCCAACGAAGTCGTTCATGATCTCCTCCTCCACGGCAGCCAGCGCAAAGTGGAGGCGAGACGCGCGAGGGTTTGGCCTATCAGCGAAGCGGCGCCTCAAATATTCAAAACGAGGCATGTCCAACACGATATCCACGGCCGCGTGAAGCTGGACTGAGAGATCCCACAACAACGGAATGTCATTGGACGGCCTGCCCAAGTGGACCAACCGAATCAACATCTTCTTAGCTGCTTTCAATGGTATCTCGCAGTATTGCACTAGAAACTCTCGCCAATGCCTGTAATTCTCGACGAAGCTGATGAGTACTTCAAAATCAGATAAGTCTGTCACTGCTTCTCTAGGCAGATTGAGCAGGATTGCGGGGTAGTAGTTGTTGATGTCCACGTCGGCAAAAATCAAGTCACCTCCAGCCGACGACCCAACTTCAGCCGCCATGGCAATTGTTGTTTGGCATCCCTGCTCAAATGCGACTGCATTGACGGCCCTGCCGCGTACCATCTGCCTGGTATGCTGTGCGTGCTGTAATAGGAAACCTTCATCACACCGAAATCGCCGACTCTGCGGCCGCGCGTGCGGTAGGCCTCCATGAGCCGCCGTATCTGTGACACCTTGGAAGCAAAAGCCTCCTCCTCTAAGCCCTGGGCGAGCGCGGTGGCGTTAATCCATTCATCAACTTCGCATGCGAACTTATGTTCGCCATCCAATTCTCTGCTGTCTGCTGGGTCTGGCACCGCGGGGGCAAGTGGCGGGCACTTGCTTTTGCACTCCCACACCGATAACCATTTCTGAAATCCTCCGCCGAACACGCACGCGTCGTGCTTGTTCAGGATCTCCGAAAACCTGTCGCAATTGAGGTTGAGGAAATGCAGCTCCTGCGGGCGCCAACACAGACACATGCAACAATCACAGCAAACGTGCACCACCCCGCCCGCGCGCACGCGTGCAGTGCAGGCGCGCAACCACAATGCGCGCGCGCGTCGACGTGTCAGGGGGGGCAATGAGAGCGCGCGCCACATGCAATCATTTTCGCTTCCACCAACTTCCGCGGCCTCCCGCCACACTTCCGCCCCGTGGGGCGCGGGGGGAGCGAAGCAGCTTCACGCCTTCGGAGTGCCGCGGGCTTCCGCGGCCGTCCGCCAAGCTTCCACCGACGCTAGTACTGTCCTCGGCCGAGGGTTTGCGGCCCGCGCATACATCGCCCCATTCCTGCTGCTGCCCCTGCATGGCCATTGCAAACTTCATGCCTTGGTTCCTTGGTCTGCTCTTGCACTGCAACAAGATGAGGCCAAGCGTCAACGGCCGCCATAAGATTATCCAGCCGAGTCGGCTTGCCCCTGGCTCCGTGTCTGAAAGCACCAGGTACATTTGTCAACAGTGAGTTGGCCTGGTACATCTTCACGTGTGTCTTGCCTGCCGCGTCCCGGTGGGCAGTCTCAACGATTGCTCTAGCCTCGCATACCCGTTTAAATTATTCAGCTGAGTTTGTGAACTCTGCTGGCATTTCGAAGCCGCCATTGGCCGTCTGCGCAACGACCCTCCGAGTCTCCTCCACAATCGACTCGTCTGGGTCCAGCAGCATCTGGCGGCAGCTGCTGGCGGTGTGCTCTTGGGTGAAAGGCCACAAGAAGAATTTACTGTAGGCGAGACGAGTTTGGTCGCCCTCCAAGAAGGACATCAAGTCAGCATCCTCGCGGAACACTGCGCCGTCGACATTGATCGACCCGACGTTGCTGGTGAAAACAGACTTGAGAACAACAACTCTGAGGCGTCGCCAAATAGAACGAAGTTCGTGGAACTTCTTGCATTCCCCGTTAATAAATGGAAACTGTCTGTTCGTTTCCCAATATTTTGCGCAAGTCAGCCACCGATAGTATTGGGTCGTCTTGCCGAAGAGGGGGCGACATGCAATGACTTCTCCAGAAACAAACTTTTTCCATACCTCTTCCAGCAATGCAATGCCAGCCGCGCACTCCTGAACAGTAAGGCTTATTGCGTAAGCAAACTGCCCACCTTGTTTTCTGAATTCCTGCGGCTCTTGGAATGCGTCTGCAGCGAGGACGGCATGGTGCCCGCCGAATGCGCTATTCCGTAGCACTGTCCTGGCGGACTTGGAATTGCCTCCGTTCCCCGTGAGCATGACCATCACAGGCGGCGTCGGTACGCCCATCCACGCCAGCGCCTCCATCGCGAGGTCAATCACGCGCCCAGGCTCGTTGCCAGCAAAAGATGTTGCTAGGAAAAGGCCCAGCTTAGCCACGACATCTTGTGCTGGTTCTGGTACGATACTGACTGGTATTCCAAAATAGCATCGGTTTTCCCTTGCCTTTGGGATCTGCACGATCCTGTCTGCGGCTGTCTCAGCGCTGTCGTCAATCTTAACAGCGCAGTCTTCAAACGCAACGGAAACGAAGGGAGGGCCTGGCTTGGGGACATGAAACCAGGCGCCGAGTAGATCCACGAGCTTCTCAGATTGGCCCTTGCCCGTGAATCGACAAATGACTTGCTGGCAACCCCTGCAGGCGTCGAACGCCCAACCAGCAACTTGTTCCTTCTTCACTTGCAGATCTGATCAGCACACAGGTTGAGCTGCTTCCCAATTCCCAACATCGATCTCCAGGAACTGAAACACGTTAACTAAGTCGCGCGGGACCTGCCCGTTCATGATGCGAAGTAGAACAACTTGTGTAACGGACAACACCCGTTCAATCTTGTACATGTACGCCGTGGGAAAATCTTCCACTCGCCCGAACGACCCCTGCCGGTATAAATATACGCCGTCTGGGTGCGCAATGGTGTCGTCAAGTGCCAAGGCAGCGATTCGCGCAATGAGGAGATCGTTGGTAGGGTTCCAGTGCAGCGGCTCCATAACGCACATCGCTATTACTCTTAAGCAGAAGTATTCAAGGCCCGCTGGCTGCGGGTCCCACGCCTGCAACAATTCGTTCGTCTTGTTAATCACTTGCGACACCGCTGCCCTGACGTCGAATTTCGCGGGCTCTACATCAGACACCAACGTAGGCCCTGGACGCGCCTGGAGACGCCTGAACTTATCTGGCTCCCACTTGTCAAGAATCCGCCGCTTAGTCTCCGCCGTGTACAATTCGACAGAATCCATGCCGCCCAAAGTATCCACGGATGGCGCCGTCGAAGATGTCCCATCGGCGGTGTACTCCAGAATAGCGTCGCCGTCTCTGGTACTCTCTCCATCAGATCCAGCGACGTCGAGGAAGGCTACCATGTCGGGAACGCGGTTCGGCCGAGGATGAAACAAGTCATCATCCTGCGGCAGCGCATCAAAAGGTTCAACATCTAGATCGCTGTCTCCTGAATGACTCGAAGCTTCCTCGACGAGGTATAGGCGCCTCAAGTAAGCATCAAAAGCATGTACGTCGATCAATGGGTCAATGTCAATTGAACGTGGCGAAGCTTCTCCATTGTCGAACGCTTCCTCGGCATCGTACAAGCGCTGCAACATAGCGCCAAACGCGCGCCTGTCCGAGTCTGATTCTGTATCCGTTACATCGCCTTGGTCTGAGATCTCCCCGATGTCGACGACGCGGTACCAAGTGGCATCTGATCCCAAGAATGTTTCGAGAGAGCTGATCGGGCCGTCGAACTGGCACCGCTGGTCGCCATCGATGACGTCGTACCCGTCCTCGAATACTTTCACGGCAACGAAGTGAAAGAAGACGTGCACCAAGTATTTATCTGGGCCCGCATCATGATCTGGCCTCTGAACGTGCTTCAGCGCCTTGCCGAGAGGAGCGAGGAAGCGATTGCCGTCTCGGAGGGCCCAGTGGGGCCCGTCCTCATTAATCTCGACCGTGTGCCCCAGGTTTTGCAAAGCTCTCGGGAGGCACACATTGGTGAAAAGGCACCTTGCGAATGCAAATGGGCCCGCGTGCGGCGTTTAGCAGCGCCGCGAAGAGTAGCCGCGCGCCGATCGTGATGCAAGGCAGCGCCGGGCCCACTGCCGCGCGTCGCCCTTCCCGACCAGCACTGGGCACGCCGCCGACGTCGACAACCTGCGGCGAGGCGTCGTCGATCTCCTCGCCCCAGTCAGCGTGGGCAGCATGGCTGGCGTTGGCTTGTTTGAAGGGCGGCGTCGCGCGGACTCCATTCTTCGGGCTCCTTGTGGCTATGGCGTTGACCTTGATGTGGTAATCTGCGCCCTTGAACGCCACGAGCAAGGACGGCTCCGAGAAGGCATCGCTCTCGCCAACGACCGCGCCCTTCATGCCGTGCAATGTGTTCCCCTTGCGTGGCCCGCGAAGCTGGCGCTTCTTGACCTTCCAGGATACCGTTTGCCCCAACGCATAGCCATGGAGGCGCGGCGCGGCATCTTCACCGCCGTCGCTGGTCTTCGCGGCAAGCGAGCGCGGCCCCCGACTCACTCGAAACGGGCCCCTCACTTGGCGGCGGGTGGACACGGCGCACAGCTTGACGTGGTAGTCATCGCCCTGCAAGGATACCACCAAGCAAGGTTCCGTGTACGCGCCGCTCCCGCGGACGACGGTCCCCCTCATGCCGTAGCTGGCGTCCCTGAGGGCCCAGTACACCGTCTGCCCCGCGACGTGGCCGTGGAGCGAGGGCTCGGGGTACAACAGATCGCCAGGATCCGACTTCGTCTCGCGCAAGTCCTTGCCGTCTTGTGCCGCGTCCAGGAACCCGTGGTAGAATCCGTTTTTAATCTTCAGGAACCAGTCGACCGTGCACATGTCGTCGCAAGCTGCCATCTGGGCAGGCAGAGACGAACTTTTCAGAAAGCCTAGTGGAAGAAAACAATACGCAATTGAGCGCTCGTGCAAACTTGAGCCAGGCCAGCTACGGAGCTACCTGATCCCCGTTGGGATGCCCCTATCGGCGGCACTCCACACTGTTTGGCGGTACCCCTGTTTGGAACCCCCTCGAACATCGCTGCGTTGAGGGCATCCCTGTTTGGGATGCCCTCTATCAACGACACCCCAAAATGTTTGACACTACCCTTGTTTGGGACCATCTCAAACATCCTTGCGTTGAGGGCATCCCTGTTTGGGATGCCCGCTATCAACAACATGTCAAAATGTTTGGCGGCACCCTTGTTTGGGGCCCTCTCAAACATCTTTGCGTTGAGGGCATCCCTGTTTGGGATGCCCCTATCAACAACACCCCAAACTATCTGGCGGCCCCCTCGTTTGGTATATCCTCAAACATCTTTGCGTTGAGGGCATCCCTGTTTGGGATGCCCCTATCAACAGCACCCCAAACTATCTGGCGGCCCCCTCGTTTGGCATATCCTCAAACATCGCTGCGTTGAGGGCATCCCTGTTTTGAAGCCCTCAGAAACATCACGGGCCCTCAAGCAGAATACATTGGTAACGTTTTGGGGCCCTGGGCGCCCTTTCCCGCTCCTCCCTCAGCCGTCGCCGTCGCTTTCGTCTGTTTGTGTTGTTGCTTTTTTTAAGTCTGCAGCTGCGCGGCTGCGTTCAGCCCCAGTCGTTAGCGTGCTCCTTCGGCGGGCCGTTTTCGGCCAACCAAAAAACTCGCTTTGCGAGTTTCCGCGGCAGGTGGTCGGGGGCCCAGCTCTTGAAGCTGGCCCACCACCTTTTCCAGGAGCGCAGCTCAGAGGTGGCACCCTCAAGCTCGTTGGCCTTCTTCTCAGCGGCGGCCAGCTTTTTCGTCAGCCTGCTGTTCTGCTGCGCCAGCTGGTCTCTCTCCCGCTCGTCCGCCTTCTTCTCGGCAGCAGCGAGCTTGTCCGTCAGCTTCCGGTTCTGTTGCAGCAGCTGGTCTCTCTGCCGCGTCAAGGCTTTCAGGCTTGCCTCCGCCGCGCCCTTGTCGCGGTAGCGCTTGTTTGACCGTCTCCTATCGCAACATAATACACACCGACAACACATGCAAGGCGGCGCGTCAGATTCTGCATGCCCCGCAAACGAAGGAGTGCGGCCTGGCGAGAATAAGCGGGTTCGAAAGGCGGTCGCCCTTCGCGGGGGCACAGCAACGGACGCGCCGCCAAGTTGTTGCTGGTGCGATTTCATGTTGCCTGTCCTCAAGTCGTCGGCTTGCCGTCGGTACTCGAGAGTCTGCGCCCGCAGCTTCGCAGCAGCTTGGCGCCCAGCCTTCACCTTCAGTAAGACCTCTCGGGTCCGCTCCTGCTTCAGGAACTTCTCCACCCGTATCTTCGCCCGCCGATCGTTGTTAGCGTCGAGTTTGTCCCCGTGCGCCTTGGTTCCCTTGCGGGGGTTGCCCATGGCCGAAGACGGTTCTGAAGCGTGGCCGCAGAAGAAAACTTGAACATAGATGCGTATTACAGGCACAACAACAATAACTATGATGATCATGCTAACGATGATGATGATGATGGTGATGATGATGGTGATGATGATGCTGATGGTGGTGGTCATGATGTCGATGACGCCGATGATGATGACGATGATGATGATGATGAAGCTGATGATGATGATGACGACGACGATGCGAATGCCCAAATTGCGAGACAGGAGGGGCCCTCACAGCGTTCCCCTCTCAAATCCACAGGATCCAATTGGTAGGTCATAAGTAGAAAAACCATATGTTCCAGGGGGCGGAGATACAACCTCCACGGGGGGGGGCGAGGAGAAGGCTTCAGAATGCAGAGGCCGCTGGTGGAATTAAAGGCAGGGGGTGCAGAGGGCGACGCATGCAAGGGATGGGGGTGGGGGCGTGCGGGAGCGGGCGCACCGCTGGCGAGGCGATCGCTTAAGGGGGGGGGGCGACATGAAGGCTAGGCGAAGAATGGGTGGCGACACGGAGGTTCAGCAACGGCTTCCGATGGCGCAGATGCGCCGACATCCAAGTTCGCAGTTCACGTGCGCCGACGCGCAACAATTAAAATGCACGAGATCGTTCGAACAGTGCGCTCCCAAGGCTGGCGGTGGTGCACTGTACATTGCCGAGGTTTCGTCTGCGCTTCCAAGCGGCGAGGCTGGTGCACTGTGTGCTGCCGAGGCTGCTGCTCCACTGCATGATGCTCTGGTGCACGTCTAATGCTGCGATGAAGCCCCAGGCTGAAAGCTGATGCCCCCGCTGCTCATGCTGCTGCGATGCGGGAACCACTGGCGGAAAAGCGGCAGCCAGCCCTCCCGTTCGGCCTGGGCCTTCATGCTGTGCCACTGCACGTTCGGGCTCCTCATCCCACCCCGCTGTCCGCAGCGCCCAGACGGGCGCTTTTTTTCCAGAGCCGCGGCGCTGGTTGCCATGTATGGTTATTGTCCAGCTCTGGGTCTCGACGTCCCAGAACGCCCCAGACTTCCCGTCGGAGTTGAAGTAGCGCAGCTCGTCGGTGTGCATGCCATCGTCGTCATGGGTCGTGACGGGCTCGGCGGGCTTGCTCTCGGTGACGGTCTTGCTCTCGGTGGTGCTCTGGTCGGCGACTGGGTTGCTCTTGTCGCGCTCGGGCTTGCTCTCGTCGGCGTCGGGGATGCTCTGTTCGGCGACTGGATTGATCTCGTCGCGCTCGGGCTTGCTCTCGTCGGCGCCGGGGGTGCTCTGTTCGGCGACTGGCCTGATCTCGTCGCGCTCGGGCTTGCTCTCGTCGGCGTCGGGGATGCCCTGCGTTCTCCATGGAGGCGCGGCGACTTTCATCGGCTGGGTGGCAGTCCACTCGGGGTCGCCTTGCACGATCTTTTCCAGGCGTGCGATATCCCCATTGGCTCTCTCGGTGGCGTCTGAGACTTCACGAGGATCGACCTTTCCTGTATTCGGGGTCACGTTGTTGGTCCACATGTGGTCGCTGTCCTGCCCGTTGGGGTACCACTCGAGGTCCATGGTCTCAGCAGGGTGGTCGGAAAACCACGGGGATGCGGTTCTCGGCAGGTAGGTTGGAAGCGTTTGGGATTGCCACCAGCCTTCCAAGGCCATTGGCACCCAGTCTGGCACCCCTTGCGGGGCGTCGCAGCCTTCGTACATGGACACCGCAATAGTTGGGCACCCGCGGCGCTCACGCATGCTTGAAGCCGAAGCGACTGCGGGAGACGGGGGCCCAGTGGAAAAAATAATGAACCGAAACCTTACTGGGGCCTTCTCGGGGCAACGGCGGGCCCTCTCGGGGCTCCCATGCCCCCCTCTCCCCCTGGGGCACCTGCCGGGGCTCGCGCTGGCCCATCCCCCCGCCGCCCCCCCCCCCCCCCCCCCCTGGAAGCCTTGACCGCGCTGCTGCAGGGCCCGTGGGAGGTGCCAGCATTGCATAGCATCGCATAGCCTCGCATAGCATCGCATCGCACCGCATAGCACCGCCTAGCATCGCATCGCATCGCATCGCATGGCATGGCATCGCAAGTCATATCGCGAATATTGCATAGCGTTGCCTGGCACCGAATAGCATCGCTTAGCAACGGGGCGCCCAGGAAGCGAACGCGCCGCTCGGGGGGGGGGGGGGGGGAGGATGAGAAGGAGGAGTGAGGATGAGAAGGAGGAAGACTGTGCCCTACTGACCGTCGGTCCATCCCGCCACCGTGCCTGCTTTCTCGGACTCAGGCCTCTTGTGCGTGGGTTGGGGTCTCGTGGTTGGCCTCTGGGGGTCTTCTGGGAGGCAGTTTGGAGGTCACCACGTAGCCGTTTGGGCTCCAGATCCAGAACATCGCGCCGATTCGCGCGGAGAGTTTATCTTTTCGCGGGCGGCAGCCACAGCGATGGCACGCCGACAGGTGAAGCGGCCAGAAACAATAATTGTGGACGGCAGGCGCGTCGGCCCGCCATGCATTCAAATGATCAAGGGGCACTGCGAGCGCCTGCCGCGCAACGCGTGGCTCCAGACGCCAGAGCATTTGCAGAAGTCTCAGCGCAGGAACAAAGCGTGGCACTGGTGTTTCGGGTGCAATGAGGCAGGCTTCCGACAAAAGCCAAAATGCCAGACGGCCGACTGGGCATCGAGGGAGATCAACGAGCGCGATTGGAGGGGCAGCCCTGGCAGCGCCGACGTCGGCGGCAGCGGGCCCGCTTGGTCCGGGGCGGCGGCGGCAGCAATGCAGCGTGGAGCTGATGGCGCAGGGAGTGGGGCCGCTGCAGAATATGGAGTTGGCAGTGGGTCCGTTCAAACCGGAGCTGCTGGTCCAGCAGATGGAGGCGCACATGTTGGATATAAAAGGCACGCCTCGGAACTGCTGGTTCAGCAGATGGAGTCGAACGCGTTGGAGCTCGGGGGCCCGAAGAGCAGACGGGGGGGCGACGACGTGGCGAATCTGCAGGCGTTTGCACCCGAGGTGGCGCAGCTCTGGGAGACCGCGGCGGGCATGGCAGTGAGCATCGGGGACATTCAGACGAACGTCGTCGAGATCAAGAAAAGCATGGGCGACTTGACGTCGTTTGCCTCAAAGCTGGGACACAAGATCGACAAGCACGTGGAGGAGCTCATGCGCCTCCAGACCACGAAGAAGGAGGAGAAGACGCAGGCGCTGGAGTTCAAGGCCCTTCAGGAGCACAAGGACAGTTTGCAGGAACTCATCGTGGCGCAACGGCCGACGCAGAAGCAGGTGCAGGAGTTCAAGGGGCAGGCGACGATGATCGGGACGGTGGTGAACAGCATGTGCCCGAGGGGCCGTGCACGGGTTGGAGGTGGAGGGCTGGCTTCTTCGGCCCGCGCGGGGTCGTTGCCAGGGCCGCCATACAGGACGGACCTACTGAGCGCCAGCGCCGACGCAGCGCTGGGCCCAGCAGCGCAGGCGTAGGCCGCATGAGTTTACACCGAGCGAGATGCGCCTGATAATTTTGCCAAGTGAAGCTT